ACAGCTCATGCTTCCACTAGGCCAACGCTGCCATGAATTGATATCAGAACAACTCATTGAAACAAACATATGGCATGTTCAGTTCTGATAATGTGAATGTAAAGGAATAGACCAACAACTAATGGACTATAGCATCCTTCGTAATGGCTGCACATTTGCTTCTTTTTGGGGCGCATAGAAAAGGCCTTTTATGTCCGCGGGGGAAGCAAACCTCAGTGACGTCGACGCGAGCGTCGGAGCTCTCTGAAAACACAACTCTCATCACCCGATACCATTCCACCTCAAACCCACGCCAAGCTTGGTCGCACCATGTCGGAGCTTGATTATGCGACAGATGAGGATGTGGAGAATGGCAATGCCTTTTCCTTTTGGCCTCCGGTAAGCCATCGCTCCACATTTCACTGATTCAACAGCTGACGGTCCGTCCGATGACCTCCAGGACGCGCTGGTAGCGCCCTTTCGCGCCCTTGTTTCGAAACAAGCACAGAAAGCCTATCTGGGAACTCTCTTGTTTGTGATAACTGCTATATGCATGTTCTTTGTTTCGTCGGTTGCATATGGGATATTTTACTATTGGTTCATCCCGCAAATTGGGCTTGCGCGACAAGTGCATCTACAGTTTGGGTAGGTCAAACGACGGAGATTGGATTGTCCGATGTAGAAGAAAAAATATCGTTGGATCTCTTGGCTGATTATTGAGATTTCGGTCTGTAGTGATGACCAACCTTGGGGTACCGCTTCCCTTGGGTCGGAGTTGGTCTCTCAGCAAGCATACGATGTCGCCATGAAACTCGAAATGCCGCGGACGCCCTCCAACCTCGCTGCCGGAAACTTTATGCTAGATCTATCACTCTTTTCCCGCCCTTCTACGTCCGTCACTACCGGCCAGAACACATCCTCGAATCGGATTGTGCACTCGCGCCGCCCGGCTATACTGACGTATACGTCGCCTATGGTGGATACCGCCAGCAAGATGTCTTTCATGCCACTGTATGTACTGGGGTGGCAGCGTGAAGCAGAAACTCTGCGGGTGCCGATGCTTGAGAAGGTTGAGTTCTCGCGCGGCTGGCGCAACCTTCCGGCGAGTTTACGCCTTGAAGTCCACAGTAAGGAGCCGATGCAGTTTTACTCGGCTCAGGTGGAATTTCGAGCTAGGTTTACGGGGCTAAGGTACGTCACAGCTACCGACAAGTATCATGGACATCTTTTGGACTAATAGCAATAGATGGGTCATGTACAACTGGAGGATCCTATCGTTCTTGGTCTTCAGTTTCGGCTTCTGGAGCGTCTCCATGATCTCTTCGAGCATTGCTTGGCTTGTCCTGGCTTCGTTATGGAGCACGAAGCCAGAGAATCAGGTAAATATCAAGCGAGAGCCTCGCGGGAAGACTCCAATCAAGGAGGAATATGATGACGAGGCAGCGGATATTTCTGCTCTGGACTCGCCTTCTGACTCACACTCTCCGAAGCACCAGCTGACGAGTAGGGTTAAGAAAGAAGAAGACTTTGAAGAGGAGACGAAGCGCTCTTATACCAGCGACACAGACGAAGAAGGCCATGATCCTGGTGGTAGAAGAGACGTTTGGCCTTCTGAGAGTGGTGCAGGGACTGGCTTAGAGAGCGCAGAGGCGAGGGGCGTCCAGCGGCGCCGTAGCCGTTTATTTAGGGAAGGCCAGTCGTAGGCAGGACGTTCGATCTACGTTTGGTTCTAGAGAACTTCATGACTTCAAGACTTTGATACCCAAGTAATTGCGAGTGATGTATATATATTTCCGGTGGTGAGGATCCTGAATGTGAAGTCGAACAATTTCGTGGCTATACCTTGTCCTATTATGAGGATGGTGCAATAAGCCAGCAATAGCGACGAAGTTCTTTCAAGCATTTCCACAGTATACGGTGCCATTGATGCAGAGGAAGGCATAGTCACTATCACAGGCCTCGGATGCCAAACCGCATGGGCTGCCCGAAAATGCGGAGTAAAAGGGCCCACTTTGATCAAGAAAATACCCCTCCATGTGCATTGCAAACCAGCTCCTCCACCAAACAGTCTCCTTCTGCAGCAGTTACAATCACAATGCACATTTTGGTAAGTCAAACCCTTGCGATTTCTTCAACATGGAAGGAGCCCAGCTCATAGCATGCTCCTCTACCTAGGTAGTCAACGATGACGGTCCTCCGTCAAGCAAATCTTCGCCTTACGTCCATTCCCTCGTCCACACTCTTCAGTCTGCCGGTCATGTTGTATCAGTAGTCCTGCCTCATCAACAGCGATCATGGATTGGCAAAGCGCACTTGATCGGTGCCTCTATAAGACCAACCTACTTCCGTCCCGGCAACCTGCACGAAGACAATGGCACTATCCACGACTTCCCCCGCAGCGATGACGACGAGGACGGAGACGAGTGGCTTCTCATCGACTCGACGCCAGCAAGCTGTGTCCAGATCGGTCTTTTCCACTACTTCCAAGAACGCGGTCCCGTCGACGTGGTTGTGTCGGGTCCCAACTACGGCCGCAATACGACTGCCTTGTTCGCTTTGTCGAGCGGCACAATCGGAGGAGCTTTGGAGGCTGCACACTGTGGGAAACGCGCCATTGCCCTTTCCTATGCCTTTAGCTCGCGCAACCATGACCCTGTTGTGATCGCTGAAGCATCGGAGCACTCGGTGAAGCTGATTGAATACCTCTGCGAGAACTGGGCGGAAGGAGTGGATCTGTATAACATCAATGTGCCTCTGGAGCCGGGGATGAGCAAGTGCAAGGTGCTATACACCACTATGCTTGACAATAGGTGGACTGGCAGCTGCTTCCAGGCTGTTGATGCAGCGCTCCCGGATGAGACTCCCCAGCTGCAGGAGCAGAGGCTGCGGGACCAGGGTGAACGACTGAGGGAGAAGCCCACTGCCGCTCCAGGGATAGGGCCACGCAGGAGGATGCGGTTCCAGCATAAGCACTTTCAGTGGAACCCTGATTTCACAGATGTGTGGAAGAGTGTGGAGGCGAGTGGACCGGGCAATGATGGTCGCGCTGTGCGCGAGGGAATGACAAGGTGTGTCCTCTCGACCCTGTCTCATATTCTACTCTGTATTGGCTCGTAGCTGACTGTTTGGGCCCAGTGTTACCCCTCTCAATGCCACTTTCATGCGTACACCAGGCATCCAAGGCGAAATTAAACTGTGAGTGAACCCTTTGGACGAGCGGATCCGCGTCTAAACAGGTCCAGCTAGATCATGAGCGTGTCGCGTTGTTCGATATACGACCTTGATCATAACCTCCGTGTCTCTTGACCCCCTTCTAGCGTTCTCCTTGTTTGCTTTGGTCGATGGTCCATGATCGTATTTTAGAAGACATGCATTCTAATCAGCCTAGACTTTGTAGCTCAGATAATGATGAACCTGCATTCTACTCCATCGTGGATAGCGACGATCATTACGTGCAGAGCCTGATGGAACAAGCCTTACAGCGTCGCCTTCGGAAAGGACAGCATCAAATCATATCGAAGCTGTCCGATCTTCCTTCCCCCTCCGCCCCTCTCTTTCAATATCGCGAATACGAACGGCTGGACTTTGAGCATGCGATGATGAACTCGTCTACCTCCTTGGTCAACGCCTATATCATCCGGAAAGCGCTGATTCGCAAGCACTACCTCTCCAACACAGTGGCCAACTGGGTCACCAAGCACCCTAACAGCGTACTACGGAATCATTTCAAATTCGCGTACGACTTCGAGCTAGACTACGCCGAGTTCCTCGACGAAGCCCTGCTCGAGGCATACGAGCTCCGCGACAGCCTGGACAGGAACGAAGGCAAGCCGGAGTCGGAAAAGGAATGGTGGATTCTGAAAGCAGGAATGAGTGACCGCGGACAAGGCATCCGTCTCTTCAACAGCGAGGATCAACTACGCGAGATATTCGAAGAATGGGAGGAGGACGACTCGGATGACGAAAGCGAATCCGAGAACGCAAATACCGGTCGACTGGAAGATCAGGACCAGGACCAGGATGGGAACGTGGACGGACAAGGCGTCGTCACCTCCCAGCTACGCCACTTCATCGCCCAACCCTACATTGACCCTCCCCTCCTTCTACCCTCCTCGTCGAACCGCAAGTTCCACATCCGCACTTATGTGCTGGCTGTCGGCTCATTGAAAGTCTACGTCTACAAGGAGATGCTGGCTCTCTTCGCCGCCAAACCATACTGTCCTCCATGGGAAGACGAAGATGAGGTCATCGATCTCGCCAGACACCTCACAAACACCTGTTTCCAGGAAGGCGGTAGCACCAACGAAGGGAGCGTCCGACGGTTCTGGGACCTGGATCATCATGTACCCGGATTGAGCCACGACTGGAAAGAGAAGATATTCGACCAGATTTGCGCCGTCACCAGAGAGGTTTTCGAGGCGGCCGCACGAGGCATGATGGTTCATTTCCAGACCCTGCCAAACGCCTTTGAGCTCTTTGGCGTTGACTTCCTCGTCGACAAGGATGGTGTTCCTTGGCTGCTGGAACTGAATGCTTATCCAGACTTTGGTCAGACGGGTGAAGAGCTGAAGGACCTCGTTGTTGGTCGCCTCTTTGAGGAAACTGTCGAGGTTGCCGTCAAACCTTTCTTCGGTATGGGTGATTCATCAGTAAAAGGAACAAGTGACTTGAGTCTGGTTGCCGATCTCGAACTTGGCAGAAAAGCTTAAAAACCAGGGCAGCTACCCCGAAAGCATGGGGTCTCAGTACATACGAAAACCGTCTTCATCTAGATTGGATCATATCTCATCATTGATCCATCCAGGCACGATCACAGGGTTTTTTAGAGGGAACGATTTCTAAAGAGGCGTCCATGATTAAAATCATTTCTACTCTATATATCTCGGTCAAAAGTTAGCCGTATCTTTTCTTGCTTCCTCTTCTGTAGAGTCTGCCGCTCTGTCCGCACTCGACCAGAAGCACATGGATCAGGTATTAATAGCATAGACCTAAGAATTCAACCATGGTGAGTGCCACTAGTATCAGGAGTGATCGATATCAGTAGTCAAGCCGATGCCTGCAGGCTCACTTTTCGTTCCCTTTCTACGACTAATGGCCTCCTTCCTGGACCTTTTCCCTCTCTTTCGTGCTTTCTTCGGGTATGCGATAATGACCCTGTCGCTTGCTTGCTGTGATCCAGTCGTGGATTGACTACTGCCACCCTCAGCTGCACGGGTGCAATGCTTCGTGGAAGCGGCAGGCCTGGGACTCTCGTTCTCATCGGTAATGGGGAAGCTTGGAACAGCGCTCTTCGCCATCTTTGAGTTGACAGTCCTCGGCAAAAACCGTTCTTCACCTAAGCCTTGCTGTTGTACTTCCTTTAGGCCCAAAACATGCTGAGGCTCGACCTGCTGATCCCTGTTTCCGTCGAGCTGCTGCATGACGATGCGTTGCTGCGCAATAGGAATGAATTCGGGTGCGTCAGGCTTCCACTCACCCCTTCGTAATGGTTTCTTGCCATGCAAACTGGTATCTGAGGAATGATCGACAGACTGAATATGTTGCACTTCAGCTTGGTCGTCGTGCTGGGCTTTGGGATTGGTAAGCTTGTGACGCAGCTTGGCAATGTGCAAAGCAGGCATTTCATCTCCAAGACTTTGTTCACGATCATTCCCAACGATATCGTCCGTGCCTTCTGCTTGAACCTCCTCTTCAATACCTTGTAGAGCCGAATGTGGTTGCAATCGTCTGCTTGAAACTGCTCCCATTGGTGGTCTCCTTCTAGGCTGACGTGACCGAAGATTATTCTGTGAGGGATCGCTTTCTTGTGTAGTTGCACCGTAATTCATACTTTCGCCTTGTCTGTTACGTACGGCGTCACGACACACATGGCCATCCGGGATCAGTGAAGCAGTTGCTTCGGGATCAGACTCGCAGTGGCAGGGTACGGTCCAAGATCCAACGACGACGCAGAGAAGCAGCACAAGGCTGACAAAACGAATCGCACGAATGGATATAAGAAAGATGGTCATTATTTTCCCTACTTGCGTGGGATAAACAGACGATGTAAGCAGAAACAGCTCCGGGACCAAATATAGAAGAGAACAACCTCCGAGGGAGATGCGTAGGACTCCTCTTGGCTTCAAATAAACCAGCAGTAAGATATACCAGAAGATCACCGAGCCTAACAGATATACCTAGGATAAGAAATCGCGTTAGTCCGGTAGGATATCTCTATGGATGCATTCAAAAAGGTTCTTACAGTGCCTTCGACCCATGTTATTACAGTTCGCAGGAAAGGAACGATTGAAACATAGGATAATTCCCAAGCCTGGCGGGTCAGCATTCCATAATGAGACTTGAGAAGCTCTGACTGAACTGAGAGACTCCTTACATAGGTCAAGATGATCACTCCAATGAGGAATTCCGTGAATACATAGAGAAGCCTACACCTTGTCTCGTTCAGATAGTCTCTAGGGCGCGAGGCGAAGATCCCAGTCTTCGCAGACAGGACGTAGAACATGCCCGCAGCCAACGGTAGTGAGCAAAGGATCCCTGCAACTGCCTGAGGGCTGAGGTTTCCGAGGCGATAAATTGAGGAGGCCATACTGAAGGGCTGGGCGAGCAGGCGGAGAGGTTGAATGTGACAAACGTAGGACAGCGGTTTGTACTTCAGCAAAAGCTGATCCGTAAAGAGCTAAAATAGATTGGTGAGGACGAGGAAGAAGGACACGCGAAGTAGCTCAGTCAGAGACGCCTTCCCCTTTAGGATGAGGAGTGGCGCTTTCCTAGACAGGAAAGGACTATGGGTCAAAGGAGCCCTCACCATCAGAAGAGTAAGGCATCGATGGAACATTTTAAATGACGAGGGATCGAAGAAGTGGCATGGTCATTACAGCAACATCTATTGAGAAACATCGCCGTTTAGTTCGTGGTTCGTTCAAATGTAGGCTAATCAGCAACTATGCCTTCTCCCAAGAGATAGTCACGTACATAAGCCCACGACTTATACGCTGGGAAAAGCGGAACACGGCATGAAGAAACATGACAGGACTTCATGTGAGGAACATGCTCCAACAAGGTCAACTATCATGAAAATATTCCTGGTAAAAACTCAGCCAAACCGTTGTTTAGCCAACGTTTTGAGCCATCCAATGGTCTCGTCTTCCTTCTTCCGATATTGTTGAAGTCGCTCTTCCCGCTCCGCTGCTCGAGCTCGGAGTATCTCTTCCCTTCTGATTTCACGCTCGTTCTTTTTTCGTTGCTCACTAGCCTGTGCCTTTTTTATGGCATCTAGATCGTTTTCGCCGGAGCCCATAAGATCGTCGTCTGGTGCTGCTTCTATGGGTGAGCCACCTCGCCGTGATTCAGCGAAGGCACGGTTCGCAACGGCCGCTTCTCGACGCTTCTCCATACGCCTTTCATGCGTTCCAGGCTCCGCGCGGGGTGCAATCTCATCCTCTATTTGCCGCATCTCAGACTTGTGGGAGCGTGTCTCTGCACGGAGCTGTTTTCTTGCGTCCTGGCGAGCCGCGATGGCATCCTCTACGGCGGACTCTGCCCAACACACAGTGTTAGCCTCATACAAGATAATGGTAGCGGGGTGTGCGCACCTTTTCGTAACTCCAAGTCCTGTATTGTCGGGATTGTTGGTCCAGCGGACGGGCCATCTTGACCCCTGGCTGTCACCTCATGATGAGGAAGTATGGGACCGTACTCCTCGTCCTCGGAATCAAATTCCCGTTCGTTCTGCCTGGCTGTTGCCTCTGACGCATCGCCAGTGTCCGCATCTTTCCCTCGGCCACCTTGTTCATAATCTGCTGAATCACGACGTCGTCCAGGGCCGGATACTGGGGGTTGTTCTGGGGCATTACGACGGGCTTTCTCGAGTGTGCTAGGGTCATACCACCCTTCGGCGAGCTCTCCACGGTTCCTATAATGTCAATCACTAAATATATTTTCCGGCTATCAAGATGTAGTTCATCGCGTGCTGACCCGCGCAAGCGAACAATTGCACTTGCGGAAAATTGCAGAAAATCTGTAGTCGCTCGAGGTAACGGAATCCTTACCATTTTCGAATAAAGCTCTTCCACCTACCCTTGATCTCCTCTTCGCTCAAATCTTCCATTATCATTCCCTTCTGGATATCGAGATACATGGCGAACATGGGTGCGTAAGGGGTCAGATCCCGTTTCGAAAGCTCTCGTGCTTGGAAGGGAAGCACTACGGGCACCGAAGAGGCTGGTTGCGAGTGCCGATCGCGATCATGACTGTAGTCTCGGTGTCGGCGATGACCATGACGGTGCCGATGGTGATGTCTTTTGTGTCTGTCACTTCGGTCTGGGGAGCGCGAGCGCGAGCACGAATCGTGATCTCGGCGGGATCTGTCTCTATGGCGATGATCGCGGGTAGACATTGTGTGGATTTTCTTGGGTGGTGATCGTATCCGATATCACGGTTGTCAAGGAAAGCGACAACCAATCTATATATCGGACGAGAAGCGGCCAGAAGCTGCGGATCACATGCCAAGCTTTTCTGGGGCCAGAGGACATGATTTCCCGAGTATGAGGTCAGAGCCATAAATATCGCCAATACTTCTTATCTACTCATTTCAACGCTTAAAGGTTGTTTCATGGCATTTATCGGAATATAAGCAAGAAGACATGCAAATATCCTGTTACCCTTCGTTTCCCCATCGATAATAAGCACGGTGTACTACCTGAGAATCCAGTACTCTTATTGTAAATACATCCAAGAAATGCAGGGCAGTGGCTCTTATTACCACATACAGGGATAAATGAAAGGGTATTCAGATTGTCAGCGCATGCACAATCTCGGTAGAATCAATCAACTGGCTGGAGCGCTCTGTTGCTCCTTACTGTCAGAAGAGCTGTCTCCTGCGGGCGTCGTCGTTGACTGAGTAGTGGTCTTCGACCGGTTGGCAGCAGCCATCTGCCAGGCAGGAATGGAGGCGCCTCGGCCAAATTGCGCAAGAGGGCTACTAGCCGCGGCGCCGGTGGTCGTGCCGACGCCTGGCTGTGCTGGGGAGGGCTGCGATCCTTGTGTAGTAGGAGTAGCCGTAACGCCGTTGGTAGTAGCGGGAGTGGTAGCCGGCGACGCCTCCTCCGCGGGCCGAGCAACGCTGGGCAGAGTTGATGCGCTGATAGTCCTTCCAGCAACAGGGGCGCTGGATGCACCGCTGCCACTGAGTCTGTTACCAAGCAAAGTCTTCAAGCTCTTCAATTCAGTGCCAAGCTCCTTCAACCGGGTTTCGTTTCCTTCCCGAGCGCCCTCAAGAGCCTTGGGGATGGCGTCCTTCAATGATTTAACCTCATCGCTGATGCGGCGGGTTTCGTCATCACGTCGGCGAGAAGCGGTCTTCAGATCGGCCACCAGGGTTTCAACTTCCCGGAGCGCTGCATCCAGCCGCTCTGTGCGCGCTTCTTCCGCTGACTTCAATGCCGCAGTATCTGTCGAAAGTTGCTCAATTAGAGCAAAGGCGCGAGAAAACTGCTCATCAATATGCTTCTTGTCTTGTTCTAATTGGGGTGGTGTAGGAGGGGCGATTAATGGCGCAATGTACCGCTTGAGGACCACTTGTTAGTACCATCGCAAAACAAGTAAAGTCGAGCGAACTGCGGCACCGATGTACTAACCTTTGTGACGGTGTATAACCCATATCCCACACCTCCGACTACTGTAGCCATGATAAACCAATCCCGCCAGTCCCTCTTGGGGGGTCTACCAGTTCACGAGTTAGATTTCAAGCTCTATATCTAAATATCATGGGCTGATGGTAATGCACTTACTCTGGAGGGGCCTGCCATTGGCCATAAGGAGGGTAGCCATACCCTGGTGGTGGAGGGGGGGGACGGTAGACAGCGTTTTGAGTGGAAGGTTGATAGCCTTGCGTTGAGGCGACAGCAGAGGCAGCAGCGGACGAGTCTTCACCGGCGCGGGATAAAGCGAGATCGATCTCTTCCTGTGTAAGGTTCTTTGATTGAAGGAATGCGACTCTCTTCTCAAGGGGTGATGAAGCTACAGAAGGATCCTGTAGAACTGTTTAGGTGTTAGGCTTCACGTCCAACACTCAAATTGGAATGGCATCGAGGTAGAGCACACGCACAGGAAACCTATTCAAGAACAATGGTCAGCTCCGGCTCCGATCGCAGCATCATACACTTGAGGATGTTACATACAGCAGAGGAGACAAGCTCCTCGCGAGGAGCCATGATGATATTGTAACACCGGCTTCAATCAAGTTAGCTGTGTTCAAATGATTTCAAAGGGTAGAGAGGCCGGGAAGAGAAGTTGGTTGAAGAATTGGAGAAGACGGATGTGGGAAATGATCACGGCGACAGATGCTCATCGGCACCGGACGAGGCCTCCACTGTTCACCTGGACCTCGGAACTTGCGCTGCTTACGGTAATTACCGCCAATGATACGACCACCAGCGGAGGTTCCCCAGATCTCGTGATTGTCGCCGCAGGAAGAACTGTTGTTCCGTAAGTTTTCACCGCCTGCTGTATTGAGCGACATAAGTGGCATGTGCTTGTTTACATCTTTCGGTCGCTGTTTTGTACTTCGTGGGTAACGCTTCAAAACCCCGTCCTTATCATTTCATGTGAGGGGAAGTCGACTGTCTCATACTTCGCTGCATCCACAACTTATTTTTCTTGGCTTTTCATATCCTTGGACCCTCAGCCGTTTGGGGGCATTCCTCATCCGAACGTTCGCTTTAACCACGAGTTCATTGCCGCAGTCGCGGCTTCCTTTCATCATGTCGCAGGATACGGGATTGTTCAGTATCAGGCGCCCCCGAGAAGTATGCGCAGCCATGCCTGTTCCTCGATGTCCTTGATATATCGTATCATTCAATGCGCTGTGACTGATTGCGACTAACATATTCTTGATACAGACTTTGGGGAGCGTTCAAAATTATTCGGCCCTGCCGCAACCCTCATCGGCCCTAAAGCGCACCAGCTCCATTGGGTATCAGAATCCTCCCTTTACCTCACAACACACGCGCTCGATGTCACTACTAAACTCTGCAAGTCGCCCTCAACAACCGAATTTCCAGCGCTCTTCATCCGGCGGGGCGTTTGGTGCCGATGCTGGACTTTCGTCGGTCAGGCGATCCGTATCCAGCAACATTTTTCACGGCGCGAGTGTTGGTCGCCCAAGCTATGCGCCGGGCTCACTATCTGCCAGCTCTGCATCGCAGAGTCTACAAAGGAGAAGCAGCGTCTTTTCGCGACCATCCATGGGAGGGCCAATGGGACATCAGTCCTTCTTCACCCAAGTGCCCAATGCCGCCGGCGTTCCTCGGGATCCACGACCTCTTAGGGATAGATCATTCCAGGCTAGAATTGGACAGGAGCTCCTTGAATACCTGACGCACAATAACTTTGAGCTGGAGATGAAACATTCGCTGGGTCAGAACACACTCCGATCGCCAACGCAGAAGGACTTCAACTACATCTTTCAGTTTCTGTATCATCGCATCGACCCTGGGTATCGGTTCCAGAAGAGCATGGATGCAGAGGTCCCGCCGATTCTGAAGCAACTGCGCTACCCATTCGAGAAGGGTATCACCAAATCGCAAATCGCCGCAGTAGGAGGCCAGAATTGGCCTACTTTCCTGGGTATGCTGCATTGGTTAATGCAATTAGCGCAGATGATGGATCGGTTCGTGCTTGGGGAGTACGACGAGGCCTGTGCGGAGATGGGTGTGGACGTGTCCGGGGACCGCATCATTTTCCGCTTTTTGACCGGGGCGTACCACGACTGGCTGCAGGGTGGTGAAGATGAGGATGATGAGACCGCTGGGAAACGACTGGTGCCCCATATCGAATCGATGGCTCAGGAGTTTGAGAAGGGGAACGAGAAATACGTGCAGGAAATGCAAGTTTTGGAAGCAGAGAACCGGGCACTACGCGATCAGATTGAAGAGTTGGAGAAGAACGCCCCCGACATGGCCAAATTGGATAAGCATTTCAGAATTTTGGAGGACGATAAGCGGAAGTTTGAGGACTACAATCAGAATGTTCAGGGCAAGATCGAGAAGTACGAAAATCGCATCAAGTTCTTGGAGGAGGAGATCCAGAAGGTTGAGGCGGAGCTTCAGGCAGCCGAAGAGGAGCGATCCAGCCTCCAGTCCAGCGTTGATCAACAAGGGATTACTATTCAGGATATCGATCGCATGAATACTGAGCGGGATCGACTGCAGAAGAGTCTCGAAGATACTACAGCCCGGCTGGAAGAGACGCATGCAAGGGTCATGGAAAAGGAAGCCGAGGCTAGTAGGAAACTTGAGGATCTGGAGGAAATCGTTAAAGTCTACAACACACTCGGCTATCAGACTAGTCTGATTCCTTCCACTGCCGTCAACGCGAAGGGTCAGGATTACGAACTCAGTCTGAACATCAATGATAATAGCTTCTCCGCGTCGCAGATTGGCGGTCTGCCGAACAGGATCTCTTCCGAGGCAGACCGGCTGCTAGCTGAGCCTTTTACAGGCTATCACCCGGCGCATCTACTCAACTTGGATCTTCGTGGTGTGGTGCGCAGTAGCTTGCAGGCTCTTCGGAAGGAGATTAATGAGCGTCGGAAACGTGCGATCGATGATGACTTGGAGCGTCGCAATTTGCTAGACAACATCAAGGAAGCGATGGATGAGAAACGGGGCGAGGTTGAAGCTCTGGAGCATAAGCGGCGGGCTGCGGAGGAGGAGTTTGAGCGGTTGAAGGAGATCACTACCACTCAGAAGCTTGCGTCAGACGCCCAAATTGAGAAGATGGAAAAGGAATTGGCCAAGATGCGAGCAACTTTGAGCGAAAGTGTGCAGTTGATGGAACAGCGGGAAATGAACACCAACATCGAGTACGAACAGCTCACGCTTCGGGCTAATGCGTTACGAGAGGAACTTCATACCAATGTGGAAAGCATGTTGAACGACGTGATTCGATTCAAGGTGCACATCCAGAAGGGTCTTGAAGACTATGAAAGCTTCGTCGTCGATGAAGTGGAGCAGGAGCTTGGAGGTGACGTGCCTGCGACAGAGGATGTCACTAGTCAAATTTGAGAAAATCTGAGTTGCGAAAACCGCTGACGATCTGCTATGGTCATGATTGACGATTGTTCATGCGGAAATTTATCCTTTGTCTTGTTTTATTGGCAGTGCCGTCACTTCTTTTCAGCTCACTCGAATTCGAGGATGATCATCGCAAAAATATTCTCAGCGAGAACGAGAATTTGTTTACGGGGTCATTCATTTTTCGTTTGTGGCGTTGTTGGACTGGTATGGGTTCTTGGGGGGTTGACATGTTCTATATCTGAATTGTCCGGATGCTCTTGATATTGACGATTGATACCTCTTTCTAACTAAATTGTTGAGATTTCTGTTCTGTTTGTGGTATCACTAGGCGAAGATGTATATACACATTCCATACGCGTTGTCTCAAGTTCTCTTTCTTCCTGATCAGTTTGTGACTCCTTTGTGTGCCTAGACAATGGACATACTCAGACCGATCATCAAGGGCTCCTTTGCCCCATCGCGAGGAGTCCTTCGCTTCGAGGGTTGCTCGCTGATTGCCACCAGGTTTCGACTACTAGTGACCTTGGGTTGGTCATCCTTGATAGCCAACCTGCGAGCGCATGGTCAAAATCACGTCCAAGACATGAGGTCCCTCTCTTCTGCTCAAAATGTCCTGTTAATTTTTGTCTTTTGTTGATCGCTTGCCTCCTTCAATGATTGACAAGAAGGGACGCGCAAGCTTACGAGATTCGTATTCCTCCCACACAGCAAGATCATAAGATCGGCTCATTTGTCGAGCTGGCCGGTTGTTACCAAACGCAGGATAGGCCACCTCGGGAATCTTTTTTTCCCAGTCTCGTATAGATTATCTACACAGAAAGCAACCAACATCCTACTCATGGGGCCAGGTAAGGCTTGCAGCTGGCTGTGTATTCGTCAACCCAACAGCAGCGAGTCATTATGCCCGCTTCTGATTGAGTGCGGTAATATTCCTCGTATAACATTTGCCTTGAGAGTGGTCGGCATGTCTCGTTGAAGCGTTGGGGGCCGATGGCTATGCTCATCCGAAGTGTTGCGTACAGCTGCCATGTCAGTCCTTGCCATTTGGGATGAATGACCAATCGGCATCCTATTGAGACATAACACTATATTCAAGATCGGCTCTTATCTTCGCTAAGTCGGGTTGATCCCGCGAGCTTCTAAATAAACCTGCTGCACGGCTGTTGGATCTGCCTTTGGCCCTCTCGGCCCCCAGCGATTGGAGATAATGCCATCAACGTCTCGGGTAGAGAATGGCGATGAATTTCATGTGTGTCAAATGATAAACGAGAACATGAGGAAGCGGAGGCAGTTCTGCAAGGTATATATACCACTAAAGACGCCAAATGAGTCCAATTTCAACGCCCAAGCAGTGTGTGCCGTGCACAGGAGGATCGCACCCAAATCATCCTATCGGTCATATATACATTGAGCAAAAGTCTAGCTTATGCTATCGAGCCACCATGAAAGCTTCCACCATCGTTCTCAGCGCCGTCGTGGCTCTGTGTGTCAACCCAGCTCTAGCTCGTGTACCTGGAAGGCCTTCTACTCCCGTTTCTTCCTCCCATACGGTAAGTCCAAAAGTGGACAATCCTCCAGCTTGACTTCCCACTGACAGAGCGCCCATTCAGCCTTCGGGGACACCGTCTTCAAGTTCTTGCATCCCATCAGCCACACCATCCGTGACTCCGTCCACTACTCCATGTCCGTCGAGAGGCCCGAGGCCCACAGGAGCTTATCCCTGGCACTCGTCCACTTTCAGCCATCACCCAAGCGCAAGCTGCACGCCGAGTGGAAAGCCTCAGCACCGAGAACCTCACGGTGGTGGTCCTGGATGGGACCACGATCACCGAGAGCCGTCTGCTGAGGAATTTGAAGTCTTCCGACCTAGGAAGTTTAAGCGCATGTGAACTCATAGAGAGAAGGACAATAGATTTGAAGGATCTGTATCGCTTGAAGGCATCTGTCTTATACAAGCAGACTGTTAGTCCTGTTGTTGATTTGGGGGTCGGATCATTCATTCGTTATCATTTCCGCAGTTAACGAGCGTTGATGTTTATGAGACACTATATGACCCTCATACGACATCCGAATAGAACGGAGCTCGTTTCCATGTCTCAGATACAAAGTAGATTCGGATTGAACATAGTCGGATG